TCTTTCTCCCTTTATGGTGTGGTATCAGTTTCACCAACTAAAGAGATAAATGAACCAAAGTCACAGAGGCCTCCTTTTAAAGCAAATGCTGTCATTCTCTCCAAGCCCTTGCCTTCTTTGATTTCAGTGTCCCATTTGGGGCACTTCTAATAACCACCTTCATTCTTAAATTTTCTGCTTTCATGGGTTGAGGACATTATGCTCCTCTACTTCTGTTTATTTATTTAGTTGTAGATGGACATGATACCGTTTATTTCTTATGCAGTGCTGAGGATCCAACCCAGTGCCTCACATGTGCTAGGCAAGTACCCTACCATTGAACCACAACCCCAGCCCCCCTACTTCTGTTTTTCAGACGACATCTGTTTTCTTTGGGCATATTCTAAGGCTCAGCTCTCTTCTTACTTTTTTCCCCATTAAACTCTTCTTTCAGAATTCTCTCTCCTCCCTCCCTCTATCTATCTATCTATCTATCTATCTATCTATCTATCTATCTATCTATCTATCTATCTCTTAGAGCCTTGTGCTTGCTAGACAAGCACTCTACCACTGAGCTATACTGCCAGCTCCTGATTTCATTTTAAATGCAAAATATCAAGCCTCAAATTAGTCCTTGGATCTATCCAGCAATCCCACTCTTTCTCCAATAGGCTCACATTCCCACTCCCTAGCAAGTCTATGACAAGCTTTCCCTTTCCTGAAACATATACACCCTTTACTCATTTTCAGTTTTAGCTAAAGACCTCAACTCATCCCCATTAATGAGGAATCAGAAACCATCAGGTGGAAACTTATCTTTGCACAGTCAAAGCTTCAAAATTCTGCTTTTATCCCTAAATTGCTCTTCTGTTACAATGAAGAGTCCTTCTTCCGAAAGTCTGTTTCTCCACTTGTGTTCTGTTCCTTTCCCCTTCTTTATTTTTCACTCTTCTTTCTATTCTCCTTAAGCACCAAGCTCTTTCCTGCCTGAGGGCTTTGCATAAGCTCTGAAATAATAACTACAACATGCTACAACATGCATGAACCCTAAAGACATTGTGCTAAGTGCAATAAACCTTAGTCACAGAAGGCCACTATACTTAGTCCATTTACTTTTCACTTATGTGAGTGTAAAAATAGTCAAACTTATAGAAGGAAAAGAATAGAGTGTGCATTGCCAAGGACTAGTGAGAAGGAAAAAAAGGGGAGTTAGTTGCTCATTGGTAGGTATAAGATTTTGGTTATGTAAAATGAGTAAGTTCCAGAGATCTGCTGTACAACAATTGTGTAGGATGCTGTACTGTATATTTAAGAAATTTTTTGAGGGCTGGGGGTGTAGCTCAGTGGTAGAGCATTTGTTTAGCATGAGAAGCCTTGAATTTAATTTTCCAGTACCACTAAAAAAACAAGAATCTTTTTAGGCCCAGGCAGGGTAGCACCACCTCTATAGTCCCAGTCACTCAGGAGGCTGGGATAGGAGGACCACTTGAGTACAGAAGATTAAGGTCAGCCTGGGCAACATAGTGAGACTCTGTCTACAAAACAAAAAACACTATGGACACTGGTGGATATAATTTCAGATTTTTTTTTTTTTGGTACTGGGGATCAAACTAGGGACACTGTACCCCTGGGCCACATCCCCAGTCCTTTTTTCCTGTGGAAACAGGGTCTCCCTAAATTGCTTAAATCTTTGCTGAATTGCTAAGGTTGGCTTCTTCAAACTTGCAATCTACCTGCCTCAGCCTCCCAAGTCACTGGAACCCCTAGGGCTTTTCATGTACTAAGCATGTACTCTACCACTGAGGGCACCTTCAGCTCTTGCCAAATTACTTTTTAGCAATTAGATCTGTATGGATCTGTTTAGCCTTTGAACAGTTTCTAGACTGTTCTCTGCTATAGGCTTTTATCTTTATTTCAGATTATAGGACTATCCAACTCTCCATTTTGGCAATGCTATGCAAATGAGGCAGAAAACCTAAACATCAATAGTGACTTTATGAATGTCATTATACTCCCAGCATTCTGATCTTCTCTGTGACTCTTTGATCTGACTGCTTTAGTTCTGATCTTATTTTAGTACCTGGCCTCCAACTACTATTTACACTTTCTTTTGGGGACCGAAATGATTGTCCTATTATTGCCTAGCATTTTCATTTCTTATTTTTAATGTTTCAAGTTTGGCCACCTACTTAGGACATGACATTCAGTTCAGAACAAATTCTTCAAGCTGGAATTCATGACCTTCCTTAAATTGAAACTATAGCAGATTTTTTTGGGGGGTGTGTGGGGGGATAACAAGGATTGACCCCATGGGTCCTTATCTACTATGCCACATCCCCAACCCTTTTTATTTTTATTTTTTAATTTTGAAACAGGGTCTTGCTAAGATGCTTAGGGCCTTGCTAAGTTGCTGAGGTTGGCTTTGAACCTGCAGTCCTCATGCCTCAGTCTCCCAAATCGCTGATGTTACATGTGTGCACCACTGTGGCTGGCCAGATTCTCTTTTGACTTTTTTTTTTTTTTCCTCTGTGGAACTGGGGATTGAACCCAGGGCTTTGTACATGCAAGGCTAGCACTCTACCTACTGAGCTATATCCCCAGGCCTGTGTTTTCTTTAATTAATGGATTAGTTCTGGGGACACCATGTTGCACATCTCTAGACAGAACTATTTACACTGCATTCTATGTTAGTGGTTTCCCCTACTGGAACATTACTGTAATTTATGTGTTTTGGAGTTTTGTTTTTGCTTTTGTAGTGCTGGGAATAGAACCCAAGGCCTCTTGCATGTTAGGCAAGGGCACTACCACGAAACTACATCCCAGCCCTGTTATTTATGTTTTATAAATAAACAACTCACTAGAGCCATTTCATCCTCCACAGTGTAACAATTAGATGCCCACCTCTATAGTCACCCACCTGTCCAACTTCTAGACCCAGTCCTGACCATAAAAGAGGTTTAAGACTCTGTGAGACTCAGTCCAATTTATCCCTGTGCTTATTTCCAGTGTTATCATTCTGTTAAATGAGCTTTCTAAGACCTGGGCCCTAGAACTGGCACCTAGTGTCCTGTTTTGCCCTGGTAACCTGCCTAGGACTCTCATTCTACAGATAGTCTCACCCACATCCTCATGACAATTGCTTGCTTAATTACCTGCCAACTGTGGTTTATTGTTATGCATATGATATACTATTGGTACACAAGACAAACCTAGAACTGTCTACCATGTCCAGTGCTAGGCTCATATCAAGGGAATCTGATCACATTTTTTTTTGACTACTTCTCTAGTCAAAGACTGTCCACTTATATCTCAAAATGAAATGGTATTAGAATATTATACTTTTTTTTTTGTATTAGGGATTAAACCTAGGATACTCTACCATGAAGCCAACACTTGTTATTTTTTATTTGAGACAAGTTCTCTACAAGTTGCCCAGGCTGGTTTTAAACTTATGATCCTCTTGCCTCGGCCTCTAGAGTAGCTGCGATTATACGCATGTGCCACAATGCCAGGATTTGAACCTCTTTTAAAAGGTGATATCCCAACCAAAAAGCATTATTCTGATGTCACTTGGTAATGAATATCAAACCTCTTTCTATATATATTATATTTTAATTGAGTTTTAAAGTTACCTTGATTATAAAATCATCAAACTTTTAAAACATGATTTTTTTTTTACTTTTTTAAGTGTACACTTTAATGGCATCACCTATATTACATTGTCCTATAACCACTATCAGTAACTGTCTACAGTGAAAAACATGATTTTTAAAAAACATTTTAGGTAACTTATCTTTGACTGGTTCACATAAAATATGTGCTAGCTTTATAATATGACCTTCTCTGAATCATAACAAAGCAAATTTGAACAAAAAGAATTTTATTAAAGATGATCAAACCCCTAGCAAATAATTACACATTGTAATAAGTTAAATACATTACAATAAATGAAAAGGATAAATTATAATAAATAAAAGTGAAAATGATTGACTTAATAGATTACCTGCCCAAGTTTTTTATAGAATTGCCAAGAAGTAATTTCCTTACAATAAAAGTGTTTCCATTTTTTCTTTTATTTTTCTCTATTCTAGAGAGAAATCTCAGCTGTTTACTCATACCATCTCATTAAATTCTGCAAGAAATCTATAAAGTGTATTTGGAATTATAATTGTAAAAAGAAAATTGAGAACACTTTATTTTGTTCTTGGAAAACTTTATTTCAGTTTAAACAACAAAGCAAATGATATTTATGTCATCCAGGAACAGATGAGAGTATGGTCATCCTTTATATCTACATCGTTGGCAAATTCCAAATGAGAGGCATAATCTAGGTAAAAGACATTTATTACTCCAGATTATATTTATCTTCCAATCTGAGATCATAAAATTAGTTAAAAAGATTAGAGATAGATTACACGAAGTCACATCAGAACAGCTGAGAAAGTGATGTCTAATGTTTGGAAAATTACATTCTCTTTCTACTTCATACTCTAAAGAATGATTTTTTTTTTCCATGCTAGAGATTGAACCCAGGGCCTTGCACATGCTAGGCAAGTGCTCTACCTCCGAACCACACATCCAGCCCAAGAAGGAATCCTTAAGGATCAGCAAAAGATGGTTCATACTGTATGTATTAGAAACAATGATATGTACTTTCATCAGTTTCATATGATTATTAGGATTCAAAATATTATTTAAAATCTAGATATAGGTTCAAACAGTCAAGTCAATGACAGAAAATGAAAATCTTAGATTTCTTTAGAGGAAACATAAAAGACATGATTATTTGGATCTTGTTTTAATTTAAAATCAAAAGTATTTTAAAAAAATTTTTGGTAGTTGTAGATGGAGAACATGACTTTATTTTATTTGCTTATTTTTGTATGTGGTGCTGAGGATCAAACCCAGTGCCTCACACATACCAGGCAAGCACTCTGCCACTCAGCCCCAGCCCCAGCCCTAGCCCTAAAAGTCTATTTTTCATGTTTAAAAAAAGACATGGTAGCATTGTTACACACCTGAAAAAGATTACAAGTACAATATCCCCATAACAACAGCAATTGAGAAATCTAATTAGTCTACAGACTTTGTTTCTGATAAAGTGTTTCTTTGAGCTTGCCTTCTGTTAACGATGCATAACTTGCCAGATAATTATGACATTGATTTTCAAGCTCTTCTTTCATTGTATTTTTCCCTTTTCACTAAGATGTATCTAGAGATAATGAAACAATGCGAAACAGCTCTAATGACCTTCAATAATTTTCTTTTACTAAATTAGTTGATCTTATTCCAGTGAAAGCTAATGACAAATTTATCCAATAGCCTTTGATTTCAAAATTACTTAGACTAGTAGAATACAGCATCAAATACAGATTTTTTTATTTTTTTTTTAATTTTGAGACGGTCTCACTAAATTGCTTAAGGCCTTGCTAAATTGCTGAGGCTGGCCTCAAACTTGTTATTCTCCTGCCTCAGCCTCCCGAGCTGCTGGGATTACAGGAATGTTCCACCACACTGGTATATACAGACATCTTAATAATCTACTTACATCTCAAAACAAGTTATCTTTCTAAACAATTTACAAATGTGAAATATGCAATATTGTTTGAAATAAATATACAATATATTGTTTCTACATTCTCATACAGGCTTAAAAATGAGGTAATAAAAACTTAACTGATTAAAACTTTTACCATTCTGGAAATAGCTTAGGGAAATGACGGTGAAATTTTATTTTCTTAGGTCTTTTTGTGTTTTCTTTGAATACTTCCTTTTTCTATGCTGAAAAATTATGTAAAAAATCCTTGAGCTTTGTTGGATAATCTGTCATCACTCCAGTTGCTCCCAAATCGAAAGCTCTTTTGTACTCTTGTTCTTCATTTAATACCCAAACATACACCTGGAAATCAAAATCACAAGTATGAAAACAAATGTTAAAAAAGAAAATTAAGGAAAGGTAGCAGAATACAACAGTTACTAATAGGGCATTATGTAAAAATGTGGATGTGTAACCGATGTGATTCTGCAGTCTGCATTTGGGGTAAAAATTGGGAGTTCATAACCCACTTCAATCTAATGTATGAAATATGATATGTCAAGAGCTTTGTAGTGTTGTGAACAACCAATAAAAAAAAATAAAGAAAAAAAAACTCAAAAAAAAAGAGAAAATTATTTTTATAACATTTATCTATATAATCTCAACATACTTAGAACCTTTTAAAGTTGCCATTTTAAGAAATCAGTAAACTTATAAAAAATTCCACTTGCTCATTAAACATGCACTGCCCAACCCCTCTGACTTAGCTATTCTCGTCTATACTATATAAAGAGCTATCTAGCTACAGAAACACGAATGCTTTATTACTAACTATAAGGTAGATTTTAATGTCCTCATTTGTGAATCAGCAAGGGAACAGCACCAGAATCTGGGTTCAAATTAAGTCAGTTAAAGGCCCCTACCCTTTACACTTGTGGTAAATTGATAAGCTACACTGTTTTCAAAATGCATTGTTCCCAAAACTTACTTGAATGCCTCGGGCAGTGAGGTGGTCAAATAAAGCTTTCCTCATTAATAAACTAGAAAAGAAAGGCAGAACAGATTTAGGTATTTCTTTCTTTTTTTCTTTTTGTTTTATTTTAGTACTGGGGATTTAACTCAGGCATGCTTTGCCACTGAACTACATCCCTTTTTATCCTTTGAGACTGGGTCTCCATAAGTTGCTTAGGGTCTTGCTTAATTGCTGGAAGTTGTGATCCTTTTGCCTTGGCTTTCAAAATTGCTGGGATCATAGGCCACCATGCTCTGCTGTATTTCTTAGTCCTAACTACTGACTAGAATTAGTCCTCAGTCCTACCTTGGTCAATTTTGAGATTCGTAATTCTTTATTTAATTGAATCCCCAAACTCCAGCAATACAAGCAAAGGTCTTAAGTAATAGTAGCTCCTGAGCATAAATTCAAATCTTAACTGCTGGATCCCCCCCTTAACTGTTGGCTGCTGGCTGGTGGACAATGAGAACCTCCCCCAGTACTGCCACCAGAAGATCCATTCTCATGGAAACCTTAATGGAGAAGAAGCTTGCTCACTTTCCCTGCTGGAGCCATAATGAGAGTGAGAGAGCTAGGAGGTGTGTGTTGTCCACTTGCCAGGTTAAAATAAAGCAGGAAATTCATGTCAAGTTCTTTACTATCATACTTCAGTTACATAATAAACTAGTCTTTTGTTAGTTGTCTTAGAAATCACATATCCATTAGTTATACTATTCAATACCTATGAAAAAGTTTTGTTTTGTTTTGTTTTTTTTAGTTTCAAATAACTAAAAGTACACTTTTAGACTACAAGTCACTTGAACAAGATGTGAACTAATTGTACTGGAAAGTTATATGTATTCTTTCCTTCTTCTTTTTTTTTTTTGTATTGGGGATTGAATGCAGGGGCACTTTACCACTGAACTACATTTCCAGCCATTTCTACTTTTTATTTTGAGACAGAGTCTCATTAAATTTCTGAGACTGGCTTGGAACTTGTGATACTCCTACATCAGCCTCCTAAGTTGATGGGAGTACAGAAGTGCGCCATGGAACCCATCTGAAAGTCATACATATTATTTCTATTCAGTTATATCTATTATAATGATCTTAAGTAAGAAAAACCTGAAATCATGTGCTTTTTTAAAAAATAACTTTATTTATTTGTTTTTATGTGGTGCTGAGGATGGAACACAGTGCTTACACGTGCTAGGCATGCACTCTACTACTGATGCACAACTCTAGTCCCCTGATGTGCTTTTAACACCAATTAAAAGTGCACTGGAGCTGGGGTTGTAGCTCAGCGGTAGAGCGCTCCCCTAGCACGTGTGAGGCCCCGGGTTCCATCCTCAGCACCATATAAAAATAAGTAAATAAAATAAAGGCATTGTGTCCAACTACACGTAAAAAATAAATATTAAAAAAAATAAAAGCGCGTTCTTGAAAACTAGAAATTAAATCAAGAATAAAGGAAAAAAAAACCTGTGGCACAGAAAAAACATAAAATCAATTTTCCAAAACTTTGAAAGAGAAGCTACATAATAAAAGGTTGTACCAGGCATGGTGCTGCATGCCTGAAATCCCAGCAGGTCAGGAGCTTGAGGCAGGAAGATTGTGAGTTCAAAGCCAGCCTCAGCAGATAAGCAAGACACTTAGCAACTCAGCGAGGCTCTATCTCTAAATAAAATATTAAAAAATGCTGATGGGGGATGGGGGTTTTCAGTGGATAAGCAGCCCTGGGTTCAATCCCCGGTAATAATAAATAAATAAATAAAAGATTGTGATTTAGGACTATTAACATATTTAACATTCAAGGCTCCATTCTAAAGCAAAACATAAAACAATTACATAAGCTTACCTAAAATTAAATTCAATATATTGTAAAAATTAAGGCATTTTTTTTTTAAAGTGTGTCTTCACCCTGCAGAAAGGACCTCTCTGTTGCTGAGTCTTGGTACAAATGTTTCTAAAAAATGTGCCAGTAGGCAATGTATATTTTTACATATTGTTTTGCACACTTCTTTTCACCATGTTTTTATTTGTGAACTAGTGGAATCAGTGAATAAATAGAAGGCTATTTACCACAACTCTGCTACTAATTAGCTACATGACCCCAAGTAAATCATTTCACCGGGTGAATGGAGGCTCAGTTTCCCCACGAAGGTGGATGACATTAACTCTCAAAATTCCTCCTGAGGTTTTGTGTCTAGTAAGTAATTAAGCTACTTCTAAATAATTCACATACATCCACTTGCTTAGGAGGTGCTCACCAAGTCCTTGTTGCAAATTCCATGTAGGAAGCTTGCACTAAATTTTAAATGTGATATTTATTAAACACAGAGCAATAACCTGCATATCAAGAAACTAAAATTCTTACATATCGGAAAGCCAGATGAGAAACTTTTGACTTCTGGACATGGTGTGTGGTTCTTTTAGCCTGAGGAAAGATAAAGTTTGAATTACAAATTAGAAATACAGGAATAAGCCAAGTTCAAAAATGAAAAGAAAAAAAAAAAAGACCATGAATGTCTTACTATGTTCTTAAAAAGAATATTTGTGAAAAGGACAATAATAATAAAAAGCCCAGTCAGTTCTGTTTCCACAGGCCTCAAGCTAACTTCTTGCTATCACTATTCGAAGGTAAAAATAAAAATTATATTTCAGAGACCTAGTGCCCTGGATTTATCATGATCCTCTCTTTTAGACAACCTCTTTCTCCTCCTTGGCTATAATTTCGTATGTAGTAGATTTAAACACACAACTAAATTGTGCTATGAATTAAAAAGATATTTGGGGTAAAAATGAGCGTATAATGTACATTTTTTCTTTCCTTTTCAATATTTGAGGACTTGGATCTGTCCTTTTAAAATTATCTTTTCTACTAAAAGGCTCTACCTGACTTTTTAGCCCCATGCTGAGTTCCTTCCTCCCATCTCTTTGAGGCTTGAGCCAAATAACTAACTACCTGTGTCATTACTTGGGCTGGTGTCCAAAGGAAATCTCTGTCACTCCTCTCGCTTACCAAGATTTCTCAGAGGCTTTCTAAGTTTATCAGCACAAAGTCATTTTCATTCTTCCCAGATCTTCATTTCCTGTTTTCTTTCTGACACCCCTCCTGACTACACTCTTAATTCTGAGAGTCCACAACTATTAAATTCTTCTTTTAACTTTCTGAGTTCAATTTTTATTAGAAGCTCTCTGAATAAAGTACAAGTTCTTATTTTCTCTAACTCTGAGATGGAAACTCCTGGTTGAAATTTCAGGAATTCAAGGATCCTAATTACCTCATTAAATACAATTATTAGATTATGTAAATATCCATTGTTCTCCTTCAAACATTGAAACACACACAAATAATATTCTACCTGTTTTAATCCATAATCACTTTTTAGAGAAAAGACTAATGCTATAGTGTTTGTGCTTCTTATGTTTGTATTTCAACAATAATTTTTCCAAAAGAAACACATATAGATTATCTAAAGAGTATAACATTCAGCTCCAGGCAGGAGAAAAGCTATACATGATTAGTAATCACTTTATTGTGTGTGTGTGTGTGTGTGTGTGTGTGTGTGTGTGTTGCTTGGAATAGAACCCAGAGCCTCTCACAGGCTTAGAAAGTACTCTAAAATAAATAAATAAATAAACAAAATAAAAAGAAAGTACTCTAGCACTGAGCTAAACCTCTAATCCCAGGAATCATTCTACTATAGAAAATGAAAATTGTTTCTTAAGAAGCGTTTTCTGCCGGGTATGTTGGCGCACTTCTGTAATCCCAGAAGGGATTAATCAGGAGGCTGAGACCAGAGGATAGCGAGTTCAAAGCCACTCTCAGCAATGGTGAGGCTTTAAGCAACTCAGTGAGAATTTGTCTCTAAGTAAAATACAAAATAGGGATGGGGATGTGGCTCAGTGGTTGAGTGCCCCTGAATTCAATCCCGGGTACCCTCCCCCGCAAAAAAGAAGTGTTTTCTATTGTTTTGTCTGAGAAATAGCTACATGGACTTTTAATAAATATAATAGAGGACAGATATAATAAACATCCTCATCACTAAGAAACTCAGCTGGAAAACAGGCAAGAAACAGAAGTTAAGCCAGTTACAGTGGTACACACCTGTAATCCTAGCAACTCGGGAGGCTGAGGCAGGAAGATCGCAAGTTCAAGACTGGTCTCAGCAATTTAGTGAGGCCCTAAGCAACTTAGTGAGACCCTGTCTCAAAATAAAAAATTTTAAAAGGGCTGGGGATGTAGCTTAGTGGTAAAGTACCCTTGGGTTCAATCCCTAGTAAGAAAAAAAAGAAAGGCAGGAAGGTATAGAAGGAAAGGTAAACATAAGAGTATTGAACTAATTGTTAATCTTACCTATATTTTCTAATGACTGCTGCACTAATGTTTATTTATTTTATTTTTAAAATTTTTTAAAATATATACCTTTATTTTATTTATGTATCTGCAGTGCTGAGAACCAAACCCAGTGCCTCACACATGCCAGGCAAGTGCACTACTGATGAGCCACACCTCCAGCCCACTAATGTTTATTTTTATTTTTTAAAGTTATTTTGGGTAGAAAAATGTTTTTATGCAGGTAAAATCACATTTAAATTATCTCCCCAGAATCTCCAAATTCCTTTGTCATGGCTTAGTTATTCTTATGAAATCTATAGCTAGAAATCACATTCTATGGATAAGAATGTGATCAAGAAATCATATATAACATTATATATATCACTACGTATCCATAAAGAAGAATGGAATTATGGCATTTGCTGGTAAATGGATGGAAATGGAGAACATTGTGCTAAGTGAAATAAGCCAGTCTCAGAAAAATCAAGAGCTGAATGTTTTCCTCTCAAATGTGGAAGCTAGAACAAAATATATCTCCCTATAAAGATATAGGGATGACCAGCAGAGTGAAGAAGGAGCCTGAGAGGGAGAAAGGAGGGACAGGATGGGGCTGGGGTTGTGGCTCAGTGGTAGAGCTCTTGCCTAGCATGTATGAGGCACTGGGTTTGATCCCTGGTACCACATAAAAATAAACAAATAAAATAAGGGTATTGTGTTCATCTACAATTAAATATATATATATAATATAAAGAAAAAAGATACAGGAAAAAGGAATTAATTTTTTAAGACCATGCTATGTGCATATATAAATATACCACAGGGAATTTCACCTTTATATATAAGTAGAAAGAATAAATTAAAAATACATAAAGATGGGACTAGGGTTGTAGCTCAGTGGTAGAGCACCTACCTAGCTTGTGTGAGGAATGGGTTTGGAGCACCTACCTAGCTTGTGTGAGGAATGGGTTTGGTCCTCAGCACCACATCCAAATAAATAAATAAAGAGATGAATGAAAGGAAGACTTTTAGAGAAGAGGAAAGAGACTGAGAGAAGTAAGAAGGGGAAAGAAAAGGCAGGGAAAGTGAACTGAAATTGAATTCCATGCATGTATGATTTTGTCGGGATGAACTTAACTACTATGTATAACTATAATGCCGTAATTAAAAAGAAGAAATCACATTCTAAGTATGTAGCATTGTGAGATGAAGAGTTCTTTAATAATAACAACAAATACAATTTAACAACTATTGAGTGCTGTTGATTATTTCCGAGGCAACAGTAAACATTTTAAACATTTTCATCTTTTAAATTTGTGAATGGAAAGCAAGACTCTGTAATTAATAGAGAAATTATGTAAACACATAAGTATCTCATGCAAACTAAATTAACCTTTTCTTTCTCTTATTTCCAAAGTTTTATTTTTTCCTCTTCACCTTTTTGGTGATGGTAGTAGTGGCTTTTCTTCATAAATGTATTATTCCTGCTGGTATTTTTGGAGTTTAATGGAGTTTTAGCTGTATATTACTATCAATGAAGAAGAATAGAATAAAGGAAGTTAAAGGGCAATTGTTATTTGATGTCAGAATAAAATAATTATTAAGCTTCTGTACTTAAGCTCATTTCTTTTTGTCTGACTTCTGAGTACACAGGCATGGGAAGTTGTAACCTGAGATTAGTCCAGATAAAGTATAATCCTTTATTATTTAATTTGGAAAATGTGTCTTAAAATTATCTCAAAAAGCATTATTAATATGTCAGGGAGGGCTGGGGATGTGGCTCAAGTGGTAGCGCGCTCGCCTGGCATGCGTGTGGCCCGGATTCGATCCTCAGCACCACATATAAACAAAGATGTTGTGTCCGCCGAAAACTAAAAAATAAATATTAAAAAAAATTCTCTCTCTCTGACAGGGAACAGAACATGGAAATAACTACAGAAATCTGGTGTGTGTGTGTGTGTGTGTGTGTGTGTGTGTGTGTGTATGTGATGACGAGGATCAAAAATCCAGGGCCTCATGCATGTTATCAAGTACTCTACCATAGAAATACTCCCCAACCCCAGCAAAACCTATTATTTAACAATGATATTTATCCTAGACTGTTTTCTGTTGCTATAACAAAATACCCAAGGTTGGAAAATTTATAAAGAAAAGGGATTATTAGGCTCACAGTTTTAGAATTCCAAGAGCTTGACAATGGTATCTGGTTGGCTTCTTGTGAGAGCCTCATGGTAACAGAAAAGCAGTAAAGAATATGCAGAAGAAAGGCAAGTATACAAAAGAAGCAAGAAAAAGCCAAGGGCAAGAACTCATTCCCATAAGAAAGGCTTTAATCCTCTTAGTGACTTAGTGACCTAATCACATTCTTACCATCACTCAGTACAGTTACTTTGGGAACCAAGTCCCAAAATGAATTTATTGGGGACAAATCACAACAAAGAGTGGGTGTAACCCAGTGGTGGAGTGTATGGTTGGCATGTGCAAGGCCCTGGATTCAATTCCTAGCACCAAACAAACAAAAGCAATACTGACATTAAGCCTTTATATTTTGGCAGGGGATCGTTAACAGGAATTGAACTCAGGGGCACTCGACCACTGAGCTACTTCCCCAACCTTGTTTTGAATTTATTTAGGGTCTCACTGAGTTGCTTAGTGCCTCGTTTTGCTGAGGCTGTCTTTGAACTCGAAATCCTCCTGCCTTAGCCTCCCAAGCCCTTGGTATTACAGGCTTGCACCACTGCACCCAGCAAGACTTTATCTTAATCCTTCTAGAATTGATAATTGATGAAAAAAGGATAAGCACTTACTTCAGTATGATAGAAGGCATTGGGATTTCAAAAAATTGTTCTCGAATGGGCACAAAAGGTAAGAGGCCAGTGAAGAAAAGGCCAAGAATAAGCAGAACACGTTGTAGACTGAAGAGTATAGGAATATCTGAATTCTAAAAGACAAACAATATTATACATTACTTTACAGTAATTGCTCAAATAAAGAGGATTATTTCATAAGTCTCAAAATTTACCAAGACTATATCTTGACATCTATTGCAAGCAGTCACCAAATTGTAAATATTCATTTACAGATACACCAAATGGCTAGTCTGAAACAAAAGAGTATAAATTTCAATGTGTAAATTTTTGCATTTGCCTTTAAATATCTACTGGTTTATTTTTATAATTTTTGTACCTGTATGTGTCAGTTGACTATGACGAATAAAAACCCATTTTTTAAACCTTTATTTTGTTCATTTTTATGTGATGCTGAGATTGAACCCAGTGCCTCACTCATGCTTGGCAAGCACTCTACCACCTAGTCACAGCCCCAGCCTAAAAACCCAATTTGGATAGGAAAAAAAAAATAGTAAAGATCTACCTTGGAGTCCTATTGTATAATTAATGTTAGTAAAGTTTCTCTACTCCCTATATTTTTCTTTGTTTTTACAACACCACTGTCTCTGTTGGCCAGAGTATTCACAACTAGAAACTAAACATGCCAAAATCTAATAGAACAAAATAAAAAGATGTATGAAATAGTAATCTAACTCCCATTTAATATACCTGTTGAGACAGGAGAAAGTATACAGAGATTATATCAATTTGTATACGTCATATTTTAGCTGTGTTATGGATCAAACCTAAAAGTATAAATAGGATTTTGTAAGTTAGGCCAAGAATCTAATCATTATTTTAAGTTTCAATTGAAAAATGTGTTCAGCATTCCAAAACTTTTTGAAACTGCAGAATATGTGTATGTGTGCCTGTATATTTCACTTTGGTAAAATATACACAACATAAAATTTAGCATCTTTACCATTTGTAGCTCTTCTACTGAGCTACAACTCCAGCCCTATAATATTTTTAAATCATGCAAAAAGAATTGATTTTAAATAATTAAAGTAAATGACCTATTTCTTTAATTAACAAAAAATAAGGAAGTTTGAGGATTTATTTTGCCTGTGTTCATATGATACTTTGTAACATTTTTTACTTATTTATATACACGTGTTTCAGCTGTAACACAGTATACAAGACCCTAAAAAACTTAGAGTTCTGCAAATTCATACATTAAGGATTAGTGAGGTTAGGGGAAAAATAGGGTTGGGGCTGGTGCTCAAAACTTATGCAACTTTGGAACCAGAGCACTAAAAGAAGTACTGGGTACTTCTAGAGAGCTATGCAAGGCTGCTTGTGGGGGTGGGAGAAGAGTGGTAGGCTGGCAAATGTTTAACAACAATCATATCCTATATCATTTTTTTTTTTTTGGATACTGGGGATTAAGCCCAAATACTTAACCACCGAGCAACATCCTCAGCCCTTTTTATTTTTATTTATTTTTTTGGTGGGCTGCTGGGGATTGAACTCAGGGACACTCAATCACTGAGCCACATGCCCAGCTCTATTTTTTTGTATTTTATTAGAGACAGGGTCTCATTGAGTTGCTTAGCACCTTGCTGTTGCTGAGGCTGGCCTTGAACCTTCAATCCTCCTGTATTGCTAGGATTACAGGTATGTGCCACCAAGCCCAGCTTGTAAAATTCTTATAAATCATACTTTACAAACTGTAAAAGACATATCACTTATTATACAGAATGTTGTTAACATGAATGACAAATATTATTGAAACATTTTTATTGTGATGTTTGAATATTATGCTGAAAGAGTTTGGGAGTTTTCAATATAATAGAAAGCCAGAGGCTTGGGGTCGGTGGGGGATGTGAATCAAGGGCAAAATTCTGTGATTATGGACCAACAGTGATCTTTTTATTGTGAATTATTTACAGACTTACAGGAAGTTGCAAAAAATAGTACATTTCTGTTAATTAGACTACAGACTTTATTCAATTTTCAACATTTTTTCTTTTCTTCTCTATTTTTAAAATGTATTCATTTGTATGTGTGTGTGTGTGTGTGTGTGTGTGTGTGTGTGTGTGTGTGAGAGAGAGAGAGAGAGAGAGAGAGAGAGATAGTAATTTCTATGCAATTTTAACCCATATATAGATTTTTGTAAGCACCATCACAGGCAAGATATAGAACTGTTTCATGACCACACAAGAATCCCCTTGTGCCATCTCTTTATTGGTACCCACTCTCTACCCCATCCCCTAATTTTTTCTCTATATCTACAATTTTGAGAATGTTATATAAATAAAATCATATAGCATTTTGAGATTTTTTTAACTAAGCATAATGTCCTTGAGGACCATCCAAGTTGTTGCATGTATCAATAGTTCATTCAGCAACTTTCATTGCTGAATAGTACCCTACTATATGGATGTCCCAGAATTTGTTCAGCTATTTATGTACTGAAGGGCATTTGAGGTTTTCCCAGGATTTTGCTTAAATGAATAAGGCTATTGTAAACATTCATGTACAGGTTTTTGTGTGCATAAGTTTACATTTTTCTAGGATAAATGCATAACATGAAATTACTGGTTCATATGGTAATGGATGTTTAGTTATTAAAAAAAAATACTACTCAAGTACTGAAGAGAGTGACTATACTATTTTACAGGCCCCAATAGAACCTATGAGAAGTCCAGTTTTTCTTCATCTTTTTTAGCATTAATATCATCATTATTTTTAATACCTTGATTTTATTTATTTATTTTTATGTGGTGCTGAGGATAGAACCCAGGGCCTCACATGCACTAGGTGAGTGCTCTACCTCTGAGCCACAACTCCCAGCCCCTTATCATTGTTTTTTATTTGAAAAGTTTTATGATGGTGTAAAAAGGTTGGCAGGCAGAGTAATATACGAAAATACCATTAGACAAGAATTAGTTATGGAAAAGTCTTACTTCTAACTTCTTAGGCATTTGAAATCACTCAGCCAAGTAAGTGCTCTAAGGTACACAAGCTACCTCAGGATCTCACAGAACCTACTGTCCATAAACAGAAATTATTTGCTTCAATGAGAGTCTCAGCTGTATTTTTAATTGTAATGGTGGTGACTGGTTATTTTGCCTTTTTTTTTTCTTTTCTTTTTTTTTTTTAGGAATGACCATCCCAAAAGTTCTTTGTATTTGAGAATTGCTACTTGTCTCATAAGAGTCCTTCTCCTCTTCCCCTGCCACCCGCTTCTTCTTCTTCTCCTCCTCTCTGTCCCTTCCTCCTCTTGTAGTGGTAGGGATCGAACCCAGGGCAAAGTGCATGCTCTATCACTGAGCTACACCCCCAGTCCTTTCTATTTTTATTTGTTTATTTATTTAAATTTTGAGACAGGGTCTCTTGAAGTTGCCCAGGTTGGCCTTGAACTTACCATCCTCCTCCCTCAGCCTTTCAAGTTGCTGGGATTATGCAACCACCATGCCCAGGTCAAATTAGTTTTTATAGACATATTTCCTTCAACCAGAAAATTTTCAATAAGTGGATATCCTTGATTTTTATACTACCTGATAATCATGACCTTGGCTTAATTTAACTAAGTCTATTTGAAGGGTAAGGCAAAAAGAAGTTGGAGGATTAAACACTTTAATTCAAAATTACACAAAATAATTACTAAAAAAATTACAAGATGGGAGTCATATTTTGTCTTATAATGCACATAATAAAATGTGATCAACAATTACTATCAGTATGTGAGAATAATTCTATGAACCAGTCTAATTAATTACATTGAACTTAAATTGCAAGGTCCAAATCTATTATCTCTGTTAGTAAACTTCTGGCTAGTTGCCTCCATTCAGTACCATCTGTCTTTCTCTGCAGGCTATGAAAAAAGATAGTTTTTAAAAATTATTAATGTAGGGCTGGGGATTTAGCTCAATGATAGAGTGCTTGCCTAGCATGAGAAAGGCACTGGGTTCGATCCTCAGCATAGCATAAAAAAATAAAGAAATAAAATAGAGGCATTCTTGTCCATCTACAACACATATATATTATATATATAATATTATATATATATATATAATAATGAATATTTATAGACATATAACAACATCAAAGATAGATCATTTTGTACCATTTTGAAACTTACCTCTTTGTAGCACTTTTCTACAATTTCATAACTGGCATTACCCCATACTGTTAAGTGTTCTCGCTTATACTGCTTCACCAATTCTGAAACCTATATGTGAAAATTCAAAATTTTATGCATGTGCCTATTTGTAAATTCACTTGTATAATTTTTACTTTAAAAATGGATTGCAAATAATGGATGTACAAAATTTTGAAAAAACTAAATTTCAGATTATTTAAAAAAACACAAAATTGTTTACACTTTACCATTATATAATTTACTTAACAGAATACAACTATTTATTAGTATTACATTAAACATGTTGAGCCAGAAGGTAATTGTATAAATACAGAATAATTGGCTCATAGGAGTTTACTTTTATTCATGACTGAAAGGTGCCAGCTCACTCTGAAAATAGACTCCCCTGCAGTAAAATGACCTCTATCAAGATGTTATTTAAAACAATGCTGATCCATGGAGTATCACGTTTCCTTGAACACTACCAATCTAAGCAGTCAGCTATTCTGACCTTATTTAGTTTGTGAAATTGGATGCAACACACCAAGAGGAAGCAATGACTCCAGTACCTTCTTAATCAGCACATTGTTGTTGACTTTGATATCGATGTTAATGGGGGTATTAGGAAAGGCATCAAAAACTTCCTTCAGTAATGGAATTCGGTTATCTTTTCCTTCACACTGGCACGCTGAGAAAACAAGATTTGTAAATGTATTTTTAAAAGGAAATTTACTTTTTTAAAAACAGTTATAGTATGTGTTCATATGAGGACATTTACAAATTGAAGCAAACCATTAAGAAAAAAAGAATATCATTTAAAACCTAATAGCTTAGATATAACCATGATGACCACTTGGTATACTTTCTTTCTCTACTTTTTTCCTATGCAAAATTTAATATGATTATAATATAGTGTGCCTACAAGAATTTAACCTGATTCTTTATGCAAAAATATTTTCATGTCAATACCTTATGTTTATAATTATGATTTATTTTTCTTAAACTTTACATTTTAAGAATTCTGTAGGTTCACATGCAGTTTTAAGATTGATCTACTTTCATCCAGATTTATTTGTGATAACTTCTTGCAAAACCATAGTACCATATCAAACCAGGATACTGACAATGATATAATCCATTGATCTGATCTGATTTTATTGTGATTTTATATGGTTTCAAAATACTTCACTGAAGAACTACACAAAAATTTGATTATTTTAATTTAACCATTCCCCTATTAATTGAGACTGAGATTTTTTTGCTAAGAAATCATCATTGAATTTTTCAGAGATTAAGAATAATGTTTGGTCAGGCACAGGGCACACGCCTGTAATTCCAGCGGCATGGAAGGTAGAGGCAGGAGGAGTGCAAATTCAAAGCCAGACTCAGCAACTTAGTAAGGCCCTAAGTTACTTTTTTTTTTGTACCAAGGATTGAACTCAGGGGCACCCGACCACTGAGCCACATGCCCAGCCCTATTTATTTTTTGTATTTTATTTAGAGACAGGGTCTCACTGAGTTGCTTAGCACCTTGCTTTCCCTGAGGCTGCCTTTGAACTTGCAGTCCTCCTGCCTCAGCCTCCCGAGCTGCTGGGATTACAGGTGTATGCCACCACACCTGGATCCTAAGTAAATTTTGAGACACTGTCTTAAAATAAAAAATAAAAATAAAATGGACTTAGGATATGGTTAAGTGGTTAAGTGCCCTTGGATTCAATCCCTGCTCAAAGAAAGAAAATTCAAAGAAAATTTGAAAAAAATTCACAGAAAGAAAGAAAAAAATAATGTTCAAGCAAGGTAAATACATAGTAATTCAGGGATGTGCTAAAGAATTCTTATCAGTACAATTATTCAAAGAGAATTAAAAGTAAACAGGGGCTAGAGTTGTGGCTCAGTGGTAGTTTACTTGCCTAGCATGTGTGAGGCACTGGGTTCGATTCTCAGCACCATATATAAATAAATGAATAAAATAAAGGTCTATCAATATCTAAAAAAATTTTTTAAAGTAATAAAAAATTAGAAGGGAATTTTTTTTACTCTTTTTCCTAGTCCTTTTGCTTCTAATTATTTATATAACACACTGTATATACCATAAAACCATTGTAAAAATTTTTCCTTTCTAGTTCCAATAATGTGAAGAACTAAATGGTAAAAAATCCTTAATCTCATCCTTATTATTATAAATTAAGAGAAAGACACATATCAAAAAAGTAAATCTATGTCAAAAAAATAAATTATTTATAATAAGGGCTCATATGAAAAGTAGCATATAAATAAAAAAAAGAGAAGAAATACTCAATTATTGCACTCCTTGTAATTCAGATGGAACTCAAGTGTCATTTTGATGGGACTGTTGATCATTATGGTTCTGCCTATCTGGCCTGAGTGAATTTATGAACTGTCTGAGACCCTTCATGCACATAACAGTATGGACACTGGAAAAGGATTCCTGAAACTCTCAACTGAATGGATTATGTATGTGCTGCCAAGGGTCTATATCTATGTGAAAAAGGTGTCTCGGAGAACAAAGACAACACAGATGAATGAAGAATCAAGAAATGGAGATAGAAAAAAATCAATTATTACTTGAACAACTAGAATGAGTCATGTATGAAGGTATATAATCCCTGGACTTTTTATGAGAACCAATAAATTGCTGAGTACAGTGATTCATGCCTGTAATCCCAGCAATTCAAGAGGCTGAAGTAAAAGAATCACATGTTTGAGGCCAGCCTCAGCAATTTAGCTAGACCCTATTCTCAATATAAATTTTTTTTTAAAAAAGGAATTGGGGGTGGGGAAAGAAAGACACACAGAGAGATAACAATACATTCATTTTTATTTACTATGTTTTTGCTTAAATTATCTTGAAATAGTTGTCTAGTGCTTGTTACTGGGACAGTTCAAACTTGTCATAGACTACATAACTAAATTATTGAAAACTGTTTATAGTGCATAGTTATTGTTTTGGTCTACTAGGTGTTTTTTCCTATAGAAAACTATAACTCCCTTATTACACAATGTTCTGATAGGGCTGTCAATCACAGTTCCCTTTCTCCATTCACCCCCATGGGTAGGCTGATCAGAATATTCTTACTTCAAAATGGACACATGAATCATGTTGGCCAGTCTGTATCTCAGTGAAGCCTTTTTCTTGAAGTTCCTAAAGGAAACTGGCTTTCCCCGGCTCGAAGTCACCATGTAGACAGAATATGAATCAATACCTAGAATCAAATTCTTTACCACCTGGACAAAGTCTACCTAAGATAGATGTGAATAATACCCAAGATACACAGATAAGCAAATCCAAGATGAAGCAAGAGAGTCTTTTTGAGCCTCTGGATTCAATAATGTTCTTTTATTTGTTTGTTTCTTTGCAGACTTGCACATGCTTGGAAGGAGCTCTATCCCTGAGCTACATCCCCAACTCTTGATTCAATCATGTTTAATGTTAGATTCACTATCATTCTATATAATCTCTCTCTTTTTTTCTCTTGAGCTATTTTAAACTGATATCCTAAAAAATATGAATGTGATATTTCCATTATGCAGTAGCTGCACAAGACTAGGTAAATTTAAAATAATTAATATTAAATAAAATTTAAAGTTCAGTTTCTCAGTTGTACTAGCCACATTTCAAGTACTCAACACACACATATATAGCTATTGGGTATACCAGAAAGTGCAATTACATATTATTTTCATCACTTTTCAGCAAAAAGTTCCATTTGAACAATGATATTATAGTTAAGTAATTTTTTTTAAAGAGCAAGAAAGACAAAAGAGAGAGAATTTTTTTTTATTTTGGTTATTTGATATTTATTTTTTAGTTCTCGGGGGACACATCTTTGTATGTGGTGCTGAGGATCGAACCCGGGCCGCACGCATGCCAGGCGAGCGTGCTACCGCTTGAGCCACATCCCCAGCCCCAAGAGAGAGAATTTTTTGATATTTATTTTTCAGTTTTCGGTGGACACATCTTTATTTTTAGGTGATGCTGAGGATGGAACCCAGCGTCCCTCAAATGCCAGGCGAGCGCGTTACCGCTTGAGCCACATCCCCAGCCCCTTAAGTAAAAATTTTATTGTTGGGGCTGCAGTTGTAGCTTGGTGGGTAGAGCAACTGCCTAGCATGTGTGAGGCACGGGGTTCAATCCTCACCACCACAATAAATAAATAAATTAAATACATACATAAATACATACATAAGTAAATTAAATAAAGGTATTTGTCCATCTACAACTAAAAAAATTTTTCTTAATTTTATTGTCTTCCAAGTGTGGAAAAATTAATTTAACAGACTAAAGAATTGCCATGGGCCAGACATGGTGGCGCACGCCTGTGATCCCAGCGGCTTGGGAGGCTGAGACAGGAGGACTGTGAGTTCAAAACCAACTTCAGCAAAAAGCAAGACACTAAGCAACTCAACCCTGTCTCTAAATAAAATACAAAATAGGGCTGGGGATGTGGTTCAGTGGTTGAGTGTCCCTGAGTTCAATCCCTGGTAGCC